GAGCGAAGCCGAAGCGAGCCGATGTTAGCCGAGTCCTAGCATCCTGGTCGCTAGGCAACGCAAGTCAACAGCGGTGACGTCACCAAGTAGTAACAGCGGTTACCTCCGCTAGCGTTACATAGCAACACAGCGACATAGCAACAAGGGTGCCTATTACGTGGCCGTTTTCCCGTATTGTCCGATCGAGGCTACATAGGGAGCAGCGAAGGCTATTCACAGTCAGTTCTAGTGTGGCTACCGCAGAGTTGTACTGAGTCAGTCAGCGAGTCCTGGACCTATCGTCGAGTTAGCCAGCAACCAGTCAGTTGTATTGTGGCATTTGGAGTGTACTAATTGTGATACTGCAGGTAGCAGTAATCGTCAGATCTGTAATTTGGGTGATTGTATGAGCGAATGTGAAATAAAACTCGCTACGTCGAATACATCGAGAATTTATTTGTCGCGATATACGCCCGATACGCGACAATATTTATCAGTATTTTATTACAAATGTGTATGATATTGGATGACAACTGAAATTCTTAGTTGTGACTGTAACTAGGACGATCTCCACATATGCATGAGAATGTATTCTCGACAGAATTTATGGAAGATGAATAAATTAAATGAAATGAAATAAAGCAGAGAGTAGAGATGAGTATAGAAGTATTAGAACCGTCTGCCTGAATAGAGAACTTACTAGCTCTTGAAGCCGCAGGTCTTGCTAAATGCTGTGTTAAAAATATTGTCTCCTTTGAATCATTGGATGAGAACTGAGAGGTGGCAGATGTTTCTGTCATGTAACAGAATGCCTGTGTGCATGTGAATTAGGTCTTTATGCTTCATTGTTTAGTGAACTATTTATGATGATAGGCAGTGCAGTAATACGTGGGAGCTAGTTGGTAATGATATAGGATCTTCTGCTACCTTAATGGTAAAACGAGATGAACGAATTTGGGAGGAATGTGGGTGTAATGGTGGTTCATGTAAAGAATTGATGAGTGGAATTATGGAAATCAAATTTGCTTTGGGAGAAATAATGTATTTATGAGTAAAAGATACCAGCATTATTACAGAATTGGGATGGTATTGTTTACAGTCCTTTTGGAGGGGTTTCAGTTTGTTTAAACCTGATTATTTTAGTGCATTTTTCTTTGATTTTGTAAACCATTTTGTTTTATGATTGGTGGAATTTGGACACTATCATATCTGTTTAATAAAATTAAGAGGATTAGTTATTTTCCAGTATAGTGTAAGACAGGAAATTTTATTTAATTTTTTGAAGTAAAAGGTAATACAGAAAGTTACCCAAAGTTTCTTTGGAATATTGATAGTAAGATTAAAGAAGTGAATGGGAAACCAGAATGCTTTATTACACTGTAATTTGGATCTATAAAGGACTGGAGAACACTGACAATATTTTTAATGACTTATTAAAATCAAAAGTTTTTAGTATAGGTTTGAAGGGCATCTGATATTAACAGACCAGGATGTTATGATGTAAAATACGAAAGAAGGATGTGAGTAAATAATTCAATAGTTCAATACATTAGTACAAAATTTGTCCTTTACATGCGAGTATGTTTTCTTGTTTCACTCAATAGATGGATTACTATGATTAGCAAACATTCAAGTGGAATAAATAATGCTGTAGTATTTGTTAATCAAAAGCAGTGATATTATTTACTGTTAGGTATTTAACAACATTCTTTCAACTGCTGAGGTTATAAATACGTATAATGTCTCATGATGTATAGTAGTATGGTTATGTATGATGAATCAGGAAGAACAGAGAATGCCATCTCATCATATGAAGATTCACACCTTCTCTTATACCTTTCTAGGATGCAACATTTGAGGGAGAGGCATTACTTATGGTGCCGTGCCTCCGTGGTCAAGTGATGACTGTGACGGGTGAATGGGTAATGTTCTGGTCAGTTGATATTGGCCTGCTTGGTTACATTCCAAAGGCCAAAGTTTATTGCCTGCCTGAAAACATTGCATCACAAGCTCCTCTAATTAGCATCTGCCTGCTGCGAGGTACTGTCTAAATACTTCAGTGACACATTGATATGTCCTTTGTCTTAATTGCAAATATAATTTTTTGTCGCAAAACAGTAACTTTTCAAGTAGTTACTATAGGATTCTGACGATGGTGTATAACACACTGATATATTGGGTTTCTGGACTTTATCCATCGTCCTGGTTTTTAAGATAACAAATAAAAACACGACGTTTCGGAAACTGGATCTGTTTCCGTCCTCAGGTGAAGGAAAAGGGAAACACCTATTCTGTTGGGTCCGTTAGAAAGAGCTAGCCTGAATCACTGGAGATGAATTTCTTAGATGCTGAGGCTGAGGTAGAAGGGGCTCTATTCTGTTGGCTGTTGAGACGGGAAAACTTGCGAATATGAATATCTTTCTGCTTATTGAAGATTTTCTTGAATGAACTTTCCACAGTGGTAAAGATACGTAATTGAGTGATTGAGTCCAGTGATTGAGGCCAGCTCTTTCTAACAGACCCAACAGAATAGGTGTTTCCCTTTTCCTTCACCTGAGGACGGAAACAGATCCAGTTTCCGAAATGTCGTGTTTTTATTTGTTATCTTAAAAACCAGGACGATGGATAAAGTCCAGAAACCCAATATATCAGTGAGTAACTTTTCATTTATGAATGATATTTTGATTTCCTAGCTCCATGTTTTCAGTTCTTCCTTGAGAAACTTATAGACATTCAGTTTATGATATTCCCTATTTTCATGAAATCCAAATATTTACCATATTCACAGAAGCCTGCAACCAGATCCTATCCTGAGCCACTTCAATCCAGTTTAGATTTTCACAGCTTATTTCTGTTTCTCCCTAATGCATTTTAATAGCTCAAGTCACTAAAGTTACTGGCTGTGGATTGATGCATAGGACAGAATTCTTGGAAGAGGCAGTTTATTTTCACTGCTCTGTCTGGAACAGTTCGGGGACTCATCTAACCTCTTGTCCAGTTAATAATGTGGTCTCATTCCCTGATGGTACATTTGCCAATCTAACTGAAGAACTCCATGGAACTGAGTCTTTCATGAGAAGCCACCAGTTGCACAGCTACTCAGGAATTTCCCAACATCTTATGAAACCCAAAGGTTCATTACTGTGTTCATAAGAGCCTGCCACTGGTTCATATTCTGAGCCAGATTAGTCCATTCCATAATACACCAGGCTATTTCTCCAAGATCCATTTTAATATTATCCTCCCAATTATGTCTGGGACCTCCTAGTGTTCTCTTTCCTTCTGGATTTCTGACTAAAACCCTGCATGCATTCCTTTTCGCCCCCAAATGTGCTAAATTCTCTGCCTGTATCATCTTCCTTGATTTGACCATTCTAATTATGTTTGGCGAAGAGTACATGTTACGAAGTCTCTCACTGTGCGGGTTTCTCCATCCTTATATCACTTCATTTCTCTTCAGTCCAAATATTCTCCTCAGCACCCTATTCACAAACACCCTCAGTCTACATTCTTCCCTTAGAGCCCAAGTTTCATAATGCTGTGCATGGAAGCAAGGGAAGCATTGCTTCCGTAATTAAGAAACGAAAAGAAGAGAAGTCGTATATAAATAATTCAATTTGAATAATAAGGATGTGAATATTGTCATTTAGCACATGTTCCTGCTCAAGGCCACATGCCTCCTCCTCCCTTCCCCTGCTTGGTGGGACAGACAAAGTTTCCATTCATTAATCTTCGTAATAATTCATCTAATCTGAAGGAGCCAAGGGAAGCAAATTTTGGTTTGCTGGCTAGGCCAGCAAAGGAATGTGTTCTTTCTATGGTTATGTGAAAATTAACTGTTTATGTGTGCTTTCACTCTTGTTGGGTGTTATAGGTAACATTAAGGGTTATTAAAATATTGTAAGTGTATATTTAGATGACGTAAGATTGTATTTGTGATTGTATTTTGACGCATCAGAAAGAAGCTATCTGCGTTTAAGGGAAGCAGTTGTGATATTGTGGTACAAGGACGGGCGTGATTAGACTACATGCACAGGCCACAGCTAAAATGAATGCTGGCAGACAACGTGACTGCGACTGTGAAGTTGAAAGCCTTTTAAAACGGGAGTTTAATAGCAGGGACTTTTCTGAAAAGAAAATAATTATAGAAAGAGGATGATCAACATGCGAGTTGCCAGAACTTAAAGCACAAACCAAGTTATATGTAAGGAAATTTAATTTGGAACAGTAATCTAAAACAGAGTGGCTATCCGATTGCGGTAATATAGGAAAATTGTTTTTTTGGCCATGCCTATTGTTTCTCAGTGAAAAAAAATGTATGGAACAAGACTGGTTTTGGTGATAAAAACAATCTTCATAAAGCATTGAAACGACATGAGAACTCTCAGACTCACATTATTTCAACAGTGCAACTTGTTATGTGCGGGATATCTCGAATTGACTGTCAACTTGACAATCAAAAGTGCCTGACGATACTACAGGATAATAAAAATGTGAAAGAAAATAGAGAAATAATGAAGCACTTGATTGATATCATCTGCCATTTAGGAAAGAGGCAACTTGCCCTCTGTGGTCACGATGAAAGTGTGGATTCTATCGACTGAGGTAATTATGTGGAATTAGTTCACTTGTTGTGGAAATACATAGGTTGGATAAAAAGTAGTGGCAACGCCTCTATAATTCTGAAATGACTTTATTACCTGAGGTAAACACACTTACATTCCTTCAATATAATCGCCCCCATGTGTACCACCTTCTGCCAAATTTGTGGAAGGCGTTGTACACCTTCAGTTCATCCACTTCTGTTGACGTCCAGCAGTAACTGCCCTACAGCACGAATAATCTCCTCTCTTGTATTGTAACGTAACTCTCACAGTGGTTCTTTCATTTTGGCAAAGATATCATTTTGGAACATTGCTTTGTATGGGGCTGAAACTTGGACACTTAGGGCAGTAGATCAGAAACACCTGAAAAGCTTCGAAATGTGGTGTTAGAGAAGGATGGAGAAGATCAGTTGGGCCTATTATGTGAGAAATGAAGAAGTGTTATTTAGAGTCAGTGAGCAGAGGAATATCCTACACGAAATAAGAAAACGGAAGGCTAATTGGATTGGTCATATCTTACGCGGTAACTGCCTTCTAAAAGAGGTTATTGAAGGAAAGATAGAGGGGCGGATAGAAGTGACCAGAAGACGAGGAAGAAGACGTAAGAAGATGCTGGATGACCTTGGGGACAGAAGAGGCTATTTTCATTTGAAGGAGAAAGCTCTAGATCGCATCAAATGGAGGAACTGTTTTGGAAGAGACTGTGGACCTGTTGTCTTGACAGGTTATTGATGAATGAATCATAATTGCATGGACTCATATTGGGTGAGTATGGCGGATGTTGCAGTATCTCCCATTGCCAGCGGCAAAGGAGATCCTTGACAGCGTCAGCAGTATGAGCCCTTGCATTGTCATGAAGGATGATGGGGTTCATTGCCAACAAGTGTCGTCACTTTCTCCTGAGTGCTGGACGAAGATGATTATGCAGGAAACTGCAGTAGTAGGCAGAATTTACTGTCTGTTGTTGAGCTACAGTGTGGTGCAGTATCACTCCATCAATGTCATATGCCACATTGAACATTGCCTTCACATTACTCTGTGTAGGGCGCACTTTCTTTGGACGAGGAGAGCCAGGATGCTTCCATTCATTTGATTGTCACTTCAGGTTCGGTTCATATGAGCGAGCACAAGTTTCGTCCAGAGTGACGATCCTTCCAAGGAAGTCGTCACCTTCCCTCTGGTACCGGTCCAACAAGTCCTGTGCAATTGCATAACGTTGCCATTGTTGCACCTCAGAAATTGTATGGGGTACCCAACATGCTGCAATTTTGTGGTATCCAAGAATATTGTGCAGAATGTGGAGCATGGTTTTGTGACATATGCCTGCCTCAGCAGCTAACTCCCATGCAGCCCATCGATGATTGACATCCAGCAAAGATGCAAGAAGCTGAACTGTGTGGTTGTCAACATGGGGTCATCCTGAACGATGGCTGTCCTGAATGGCATCCCTCCCTTCACAGAACAATTTCACCCATTGTACCACTGTGCGATATGGCAAAGCAGCATCACCACATGCTTCTTGCAGTCCCTGATAACAGTTTTGTGCACTACAACCTTGTGCAACTTCAGTTTTTATACAGGAGCATTGTTCTTGTTTCGTAAACATGTTCTTAGGGCGCTTGAACTGGGCTCCTGCACTTTAAGACGATGTACAATGCAACTCAATGAAACACAACCACAGCCACTCAAACAGAATACGAAACGACCATATTGACCCAATAAGTGACATAAATTTTGGTGAGTTGATTGCTGTCAGTTCGTTTATTAGATACCACTGCTTCCCTTACCAAAAATAGTACTGCACACCACTGTTCATACCCATACAAAACTACAGGCAACATTATGGTTTTGTATGTGTTTTTACACAGCAGGTGAGAAGGAGAAAATTTTGAACCAAATGGTAGCAAGCTTTACCCACATTTAATCTACTCTTAATTTCCTCATGAATCAAACTTGTTTTTATTATTATCATTCCAAAATATTTGAACTCTGCCACATTTTCAAAGATCTGTTAGTTTTTTTTATGGTATGATTTTGCCCTGCATTATGGTGTTGAGGCATCAACATAAAAGTTATTTTCTTTGTGTTTACATCTGGATCAGTGTCCTTTCAATTTCAATCCCACTCTGTGTTCTAGGACTCTTCTAGTGGTGTATTCTAATGCAAAATTGAAAATCAATGGCAATAAAGCATCTTTTTTTTTAGTCCATTTTGAATAGGAAACATATCAGAAAAATGTTTACCTATATGGGCTTCACTATATATGTATTTCATTTAAACACATTTTAATAAGCCTAACTACTTTAATCGGTACTACAGACTCACTGAGAATATTGCACAATACTTCCTTCATAAGTGAATCATAGACTTTTTTGAGGTTATGAATAGCTGGTTTGCTGTCTTATTGTACTCCCATTTTTTCCTCCAGTATCTGACAAATGCAAAAATTATACAGTCACTAGTTGATCTGTTATGTTGAAACCCATAGTAGTGATCTAGAATAATTTTTTCTATAAATGTACTTAACTTTGAGGAAAGGATATTGGATAAAATTGGTGATATTGATAATAATGATGTCTCAATAATTACTGCAGTCAATGGCCTTTTTTGTAAACTGGTACAGTAACAGACTTCTTCCACTGCTAAGACAATTCTTCTTTATTCAAAATAGAATTAATGAGTTTATGGATCTCAGAATATAACATTTCATTTCCTGCTTGAGCCAGTTTTACCAGAATTTGATCAGTACCTGGCAATGTATACCTTTACAACTTTGCAGTAGCAGTTTCAGCCTCAAAAAGATTAGGCTCAGGTGTATGTAGATTCAACTGTATGTACCTCCATCTGCCTAACATCACTAACTCTATGTACATTCAACAGCTGAGAGTAGTAAATCCTCCACCTGTTCAAAATGCTATGGGAATCTGCAAGCTGATCCACATTCTCAGTCTCTAGCAGGTTACCTGTAGGTTACTAGGTTGGTAAACTTTCTTAAAATTTGAAGAAAGCAGTCTTCTGGGATTTGGCACCGTGTATATGTGGTGTTAACCGACGTTTCGGAGGAACGTCGGTTAACACCACATATACACGGTGCCAAATCCTAGAAGACTGCTTTCTTGATAGTCACCGCCGTGAAATCCTCAAATATTTCTTAAAAGTTATTTATTCTTCTGTTCAGGTCACTGATGTTCTTGCTCTTACTGTGGTGGAAGATCATTAAATTTGTTTTTCAGTTATTCCCTATATTTGTTCCTGAAATATCTGCTGGCTTCATGTCTTACATTATTCAGCTTATCTCCATTTGTTTGACTTGTTTCCTGTGATCATATTGAACATCCTTTGTTGAACCATGGCTTGTGCTGCTTCAGTTCATAATAACCTAGACTCTCTTTGACTTCATTTTTGGTATTCTGTCTAATAGTTTTCCAAGCTCTATTTATGTAACGTTACTAACGTGAAAAAGACCACCTCACTTCCTTGTAGTGCCGTAGTTAATAATGAATGCTCCTGCAGGGTGTGGTGCTTTGTCACAGAGACAGTGTCAGTTTCTTTATGCCCATCTTAATTTTATCCTCCCATATATGCCCAGATATCCCAAATGATCAGTTCCCTTGAGGTTCTTCTGTAATTTCCTGAAAAGGCAAAATACTGTTCCAAATATATTGTAGCACAGTGTTGTCTTGACTAGTACTGCAGAGTTCTTGTTATATTTTTTTGCATACTTTGCTTTAACTGTGGAGAGATGGTGAGATTTATTTCTTCCATTGGTCTCGGACACTGCATCAGTCCATAGTATCAGACACCAACTTACTTCTAAGTGAGATATATCAGTGTAGCATGAAAAATGCTAAACAATAGAGGAAATTAGTGAAGGTATGAATTCCAGGGTCTCACTTTATTAATCTTGTCCCTGACATGATTGCAACATTTTTGATGTGTTGACAGGACTTATGATGTACTTGTATGTAGAGAACTGTCCCATTAAATATGCAGAGTGCTGTAACCTCAGTTTCTTGCTAAACAATAGAGGAAATTAGTGGAGGTATGAATTCCAGGGTCTTGGTTTATTAATCTTATCCCTGACATGGATATAACATTTTTGATGTGTGGACAAGACTTATGATGTATGTAGAGAACTGTTCCATTAAATTTGCAGAGTGCTGTAACCTCAGTTTCTTTTGTTTTGAGAATATCTGTCACTGTAGTGAAAGACAACTCATATATTTATCTTCTGTAATACAGAGCTTAAACATTTCATCACAAATATGTGAATTCTGTTGTGAATAGCTGAAATTGTTACCTGCAGGACCAGTATGTGAAATGGATGAGGTGTTTCTGGAAAGTGCATACCAACTGCTGCAAATAATACTAGAGACCAATACTCAGACTGGCAAGCACATGCTCCTTTGTGGATCAGGGGAACACATCTTGTCTCTCTTTGAGGTATTCTACCTTGTTGCAGGTTACAAACAAGATCTTCAGTATAAGGGTGATATAAAATGTTGCAGAAAATCTGTCATAGTAGTACTATGATCTACATTAGTATATACTGTCCATGGTTTGCATCTTAATCCTCGAGGCAAGGACAAGCTGACGCGACTCATTGCAGAGAGCATTAAAGGCAGACACATTCCAGTTGTCATGGGTGTTCAGGATCATTTTTTAGGATAAAGAGTGCAAGTAAAGTTTATCAAGTAAAAGAAATTGCAAAAGAAACTAATCTTTCAGGCAATAATGTAAGTGAACCAATAGAAATCGGAAAAGGTAATTGCAGTCTACTAAGTTCAGTGAATAATAAAGTACTAAGAATATTCCATCAGAATATAAGAGGATTGAGAAACAAAACAAATGAACTAATAAGCTCCATGAATTCAAATCTTCCACACATACTGTGCCTTACTGAACATCACATGAAACAGCTGGAATTAGAACATCTTCACTTAGAAAATTATAATTTAGGTGCTAGATACTGTAGGAAAACACTGGAGAAAGGAGGAGTG